ATATATCTATATATATTATCATCATTGTATATATATATATATCTATATATATATATATATATATATATATATATATATATATATATATATATATATATATATATATATATATATATATATATATATAGATATATATATATAGATATATATATATAGATATATATATAGATATATATATAGATATATATATATAGATATAGATATAGATAGAATGAAATACATAGTATATTTTGATGACACACATGTGGATATATTAAATGAAGAAGATGTCATGCTCATGGACTATGAAGGTTACTCAATTGATGATTGGAATTCTTTGTCAGTTGATCATGTTGTACGTATTCAAGCTGTGTGGAAAGACCAACCATTTGATGCATGTCTTCTGCAAGTAGTTCCTAATGATGGCAGTTGTCAGCAAACTATAAACAGTTTGAGACATGCAGTTAAAGTTAAAAATTTTGGTGCATTGAGGTTAATGAAGTACATCAAGTTTAGGTATTTATAAAATTTAAATTTTTAGTTTTTGTGTTTCTTGAGAATATTTAATAAAGTTGGTTCTTTTATAATTTATATAGAGTTCGGCCTAATAAACGCGCACCTTTACAGCCTTTAGACAACCTCACCAGTGGAACCGATTCTGATGCCTTTACACCACTGTTTGTTAAACCACTAGCTGTTAAAGTTAGTGAACCAATACCTCCACTTTGTTCTCCACCTTTAGTCCCAATGCATATATTTACACCAACATCTTCTATCCAACATGTTGATAAAAACCAATTACAAGTCTCATCTTCTATTATTTCTAAGTCTTTTAAACCTTTGGCCTGCAAAGTGTCAGCGTCAGATGGTCCAAAAACAAAACGAGCAAATAGTACTCATGCTGTGCTCCATGAGCTCAATGTTCTTTGCAACGATGCAGGCATCGATTCTGACACAGTCCAAGCTGTGCGATATGGTCAAGCTGTCATTTTGCAAAAATTAGCTCTTATTTCACAACGGCTGGACAGCTTGACGCATTCAACAGTGAAAGCAATACCATTATTGAAAAGCGAACAAAGAAAAGTTCCTTTGTTTTGTACTCCGGATGATCTAGCAAATGCAGATATTGTTTTATCTGATGAAATATTTCAGTGGATGCTTCAAGAAGGTGGCCGTGATTCCAATGATCTTTGTGAGCGTTTATTAAATCTCCTTTTATCAATTGATTTGGCAAAACAACTTAATCGAAGTGGGAAAAATGTTAAATTAAAACTTCCAGTGAAGTTAGAGAAATTCATAAAGGACTGCGTTTTGACAAAATTTCCAAATGAAACTCGCAATGTTGTAGAGTTGCGCACCAAACGATTTTTGCATAATGCAAAGGACAAGAATGGTGGAAGGGCTGCAAGGCGAAATTCTAAAGTTCCTAAAGGTATAAGTATTTTATGAAATGTTGTTTCTATTGGTTATTTGAAATCATGACTATTTTTTAAAATGCTGTATATATTAATGTATTTATGTATTTCTATGTATGAATCCTTGGTATGAATAATTGGTATGGTATGGTAAAATATTATATATATATATATATATAATATATATATATATATATATATATATATATATATATATATATATATATATATATATATATATATATATATATATATATATGTATATATATATATATATATATATATATATATATATATATATATATATATATATATATATGTATATATTTTTAATTTCTATAGAAGCTGTTGAATGCAATGACTTGATTATTGCAAAAAATAATAAAGATTTTGACAATGAACATCCTGGTCCAAAGTGCCAAAGTAACTTTTTATTTAATTATAAATATAATAATTTATATATTAGAAATATAAAATAATTGCTTTGTTCTCCAAAATCAAAATTGGAAGTCACGTTGATTTCTATGTTTCTAAGTTGAAATCTATGTTGTGATTTATATCATATTGCTATTATTGATATGTTCAAATTTAATTTTATACCTTTTTTAGATGCTGCTCACGGTGAATTGTCAGTACACAAAAAACGTCGGAAGCTCAACCAATCCAATTTATTTGATGAATCAACTGATTCAGATTAATTTATTTAAATAAAATATATAATTTTATCTTATATTTGTGTTTTATTTGTTTTTTTGTTGCTCTATCCTATTTTTCATAGTAATTTCATGGTATATATTTACATATAACCATGGTTATATACTTACATATTAACTTACAACAAACTGATTTCAGTGGCTGAGATTATTCTAATTTAAGTTTGTGTATAAAGATGCACAAACTTATTGTAGGGCCTAGATCAGCTGCCGACATCAAACCGTTATCGTTTTTGTCCATACGGAATTGTGTAAGGTTGAGATTATATGGATATTTTACCCAAACAATTTTCTGGTATTGATTTTTTAACCAATCAATTTTTTTAAATATCCAGATAATTTTTTAACAGATATTTTAAAATATGATCTGGATGATCTATGAATCATATATCAACAAAACCCTATACCATGTTTGCACTTTTAAATTATAATGGCTATCAATATATAATAGCTTATTCAATTATTTTATGTTTCAATTATTTATGTTCATTTTGTTTATATTTAATTTATTTATTAGATTTTAATGAAATCTGAAAGTTTTGTTATAAGTGAAGATCAATTGCTATACAATTTGCTATACATATGTATATTTGTTCTTTGTATAGTAAATGATAGTGTTTCCTGACGAAGAGCTAGAAATTAAGTTATCTTTTAATTATATGAAGTGGATATTATTAGTAATTTTATATTGTTATAAATAGAATAAAATATTTTTTTTAAGTATAATTATGTAAGAGATTTTTTTACCTAATTACGTAAGAGATAAAATTTGTTTTTATTATAAATTCAATTATATGTATAATTTTTTAGTTATAGATATAGATGTCGAAGAAATCAAAATCAACTTATGAATTATCGAATTGATTCTTTCAACAATCTATGAAGGTTTTTTCAGGTCCATTAGTAGTTTAGTTTTTCTTAGTTAATATTTGATTTACTTGGAATGCAACCTTAATTATACATGTATATTTTTTTAAATATTTTTATATATCCCTTTTTTATTATATTATTTTATTTTTTCATTTCTCTAGTGTTACTATTTTTGGATTCATTGCCAAGCAATGAAGCAGTGCATTTAACTATTAACAGAAGAACTCCTTCAGGTATGTCTCCTTGTCAATAGTTTGTTGTATGATTATGTTAAATTTATAAAATGTTTATTCCAACACAAGGTAAGGTAGAAGTAGTTTTATTTACTGGCGATGTTAGTTTTAAGCAGAATAAGTATCATATATCAAAATATTTCCTGTTAATTTTTTATTTATTGATAAAGTATAACCTGTTATGGTAACAATTTTTTTTTTTGCACGAATCTATTTTTAACACTGTGCTCTCAGAAGAAAAACTCTTATAATAGAGGTGTTATACTGTTGCTATGCTAATGTTATCTATATTGTATTCATATTTTTATTGATATATAATTTTCAGAGGCTGTAGATTTTGATAATGCATATCTTGATTCTAAATATAAATGTATATTTTATATATATATATATATATATATATATATATATATATATATATATATATATATATATATATATATATATATATATATATATATATATATATATATAATATGGCCTAAGCTCCAGCGTGTTTTATATAACATGTTAATTTTTATAGGGGCTGTTGAATGCAAAGAAGTAAACAATGACCCAGATACAAATGATTTTGGCAGTGCACATCCTGATTCAAATTGCCCAAGTAACTTTTTATTGAATTAGAAATATAATACTTTTCATATTATAAATATAAATTAGTTATTTCGTTCTCTGAAATTAAAAGTGGAATTTGGAATCTACGTTGTGATTAATGTTATATTGCTATTATTGATATGTGAAAATTTAATTTGTAGTTTTTTTTTTTAGATGCTGCACACAGTGAATTATCGGTTAAAAAAAAACTTTGGAATTTCACCCGATTCAATTTATTTGATGATTCAACTGATTCAGAATAATTTATTTAAAAGAAATATATAATTTTGTTTTATATATGTGTTTTACATATACTTTAGTTGCTTAATACTATTTTCCCTTTTTTCCGATTTGAATAAGTGTGTTAAGATTTGCATCGGCTAGCAGAGTTTTTGAACTCGGCTGAGATCGGCCAGCCGATGATTTGTTTGGAATCGCGTCGGCTTAACATCGGCCAGCCGATGCATTGCAATAGTTTGAGCGGCTAGCCGATGTCGGGCCGACCTCGGTCCGTATGGACAAAAACGCCGTCGGTCCGATATCGGCAGCCGAGCTCGGTCCGACATCGGCTTTAACACAGGGATATATATATATATATATATATATATATATATATATATATATATATATATATATATATATATATATATATATATATATATATATATATATGGGTCTCCCCTAATTATAATAATTATTTACTATAATTATTATAATACTTCTTAAGTAATAAGACTGTTAATAAAAAAAAAACTTGCAAAAAAGAATTTAAAAATTAATGGAATTCAGATTAAATTATTACTTTTTGTAAATATAAAAATTAATAATACGATAGTTTAAAGCAGAATTATAGTAAAAAAAGTATATAATTATTATAAATTATAGTAAAAAAAGTAAATTTGTTATGCAAATTTATTCATTTTTACAGCGCATGTAAGAATGTAAATCAGTAATGATGTTAATATTTTTACTTTTAATACTCATTAGTTTCAACCTAGTTTTAATAAAATAAAACTAATTAAATAGTTAAAAATTATAAAAAATGTAAAATAATAATTACTACTTTAAAAAATGATTTTATAAATAATTCTAGATTAAAAAAAAACAGATAAAATTTAAATACAACAAATAAAAAAAAACAATCACACATAAATCAAGAAAAAAATATTCAAAACAAATTTAACATTTCAACTTACTTTGAATGAAAAATTCGAATAAATGGAAACATAACTGTAGTCACAACAAGAATTAATATTGTAGCTTGTAGTGTCTAAAATTATTTGAATAATATTTTACTAATCTGATATATAATGCTTTTGTTTTATGTTATTTTTCTTATATATTATAATATCATTTTCTGGTATCAGTTATATTTGTAGAGCCAATGGTGGTTTCTTGAGGGTATCAGTGATGAGTATTATGAAGTATTTAAAGAGTACATTATGTTAACTATTCCTCAAATTCCCACTCATTATATTTTAGCATTTATTCAATCATATACATTAACACTAGTGATGTACCGATAGCACTTTTTTGGCCGATGCCGATACAAATGGATGGGAAAAAGCCAATACAATAATTGATACCAATGAGTTAAATAATTAATAATCTTTTTAATGGAACCAGTACTGGTAAACAAATACTTGGACCCAAATCAAAGCCAAATCATTATTTTAAAAGATATTAGAAATACTCATTTAAAAAAATATACATTTAAATTTTTTTTTTTTTTATAAAAAAAAAACTTTAAAAAAAAAAAAATAACATTTCAAAGAATCGCTTTTTATTTCAATTTTAAAAAGAAAATGGTATTATTATAAGCAGTTTACTTAAAATTTTATATTAATTTATTAGTAATTTAGATATCTAAACAACAATCATATGTTGTATTGATATCTAAATTTTTTTTAGATAATTAAGTTGTTTTCAGAATAATTTTATTTTGTGATGTTCGATCCCCACCATATCCCTGGTAGTGCCGCACTCAACTTGTTTCTCTGTGCAATGTCCTTGTTTGTCAAGGTTTGTGTTAAGGAGTTTTAAAGTCGAGAGAGGGTTGTAACCATAACTAAAGTAGCCTCCTCGACTGGAGTTGCCTTCATGGCCTTTGGGAGGTGAATTGAAATAAAAAATAAATAAAAAATTAAAATATAGTACGCTATACTTGAACACATAGATAACAATGCTTAAATAGGTTACTTTCAAGTATAACAATAAAACAACATAAAATAAAATTATTCTAAAAGCAATATTATGGTAGTAAAAGTATAATGTATTAGTGCATTCAGTCATTAAATTAAAGCTTATAAACATCATCTTAAGAATAAACAATATTGCCTGTAAACAAAGTTAAAATTTATAATTTCTCAAATTCTAACCAAATCAAATTCTAAGTAATGCATAAAAATTAGTTTATTATTTAATTATTATCATAATGCAGGGTAAAACATTAAAATGCCATTGGTTGGAAAATTAATCAAAAAATTAAAAAAAGGCTGATGCCGATACCAATTCTGATTGTGCAAAAAGAGGCCAATTAGGCTGATGCAGATTAATTGGTACATCACTAGTAAACACAATTTATGTTATCAAAAAAATTTGAATCAAGTGGTTAATATTTTTATTTTTAAAATTAAAAGATTTTAGCTGACCTCATTTTTCCTAATTCCGAGGGTTGATATATAAAATGAAAAAAAGACGACTTTTTCAAGGGACTTCAAGTTTCATGCCATTTGGCAATCATTCAGCCATATATTTAAAATCATTAAAATAAAAACCGTTATAAAAAATACAAAATTACGTTGCAACGAGATCAAACGTCAGTTTTCATGTCGAACGGGAATTTATTTAACCAGTGACGAAATTCAATAGCAAAAACTTTTTTCTGTGCCTACATGCTGAAACCAATTCACTTTTTTTATTAAACAAAGGTTCTTTATTGTATGTTGAAATAAAATATTTCTCATTTATGCAAAGATTACACCTTTTTGAGGATGGGTTGACATTTTTTAACAATACTCCACTTCATTATTGGTTTAATGCCTGCTTTCTTATGTTTTCAGATCTCTTTAGAAAGTTCAGTGTCATTTTTATATCTGACCAAGTTGAATGATTTTATGTGGTTTGCAAACCTGATCTTGAAGGAGTTTTCGCTAATACCAATATAAGATTTCTTAGTGTGGTTGACGTTCGCTGGTGTTTTGGTAGCTTTGTAAACAGTATTTTTAGTTAGACATTGATTTTCTAAAGGACACGTAGCTCTGTCTATACAGTTGCATTTTCTAACGTTTTTGATATTTTGGTTATGCAAAATGTGTTGGTTGTGAGACTTAATAATAGTACTACGATTTGGCATGCAGCTGTAGCTTATTTTGGCGGTGTTTCTGTTAAAAAATTTTGTGTAGCCTATGCTGTGCTGGGAAATGTAAGCAGATTAAGTTCAAGAAAAGGTTTCCTAATTTGGTGACAACATTCTTACTGAAAGGGGGATTAAACCATATGATGTTTCGTTTGCGATTGTTATTATGATGATTATTTTTTTGTAAATTTAAATTAGGCTAATATTGGATATTGCTGCTACGTCCAGACTTTATAAGAGCCTCTTTGGAAATAGAAGAAGAGTTTTCGAAAATTATTTTGCTGGAGGAGTTTGATGATAATCTTTGTTCAATAGAGGTCGGCAGCTCAATAACAATATATTTGTTCCTTCAGTTGAGCACTCTTTTATTTCTTTTCGTAACTTGTATTTACAAAGAGATAGTAATAAATATATTTTGAGGAATGATAATTGAAATTGACAACCATTTTCTCAAAATAGTTTTAGAAAATTTTTAAAATGTTGTTTAAATGGAGAAAATAACCTAGAATTATTCAACTAAAAACATACCTATAACTAACTAAACAACTATAACAACTAAAACATAACTAAACAACTAAAACATAACTAAACAACAATTACAATTAAAAACATACCCATAAAGAATACAAGTTGCGATTATTAGAAAAAACCGAAATATTGATTAAAAGAATGAGATGGAAAGCTTTTTTCTACATGAACAAACAACCTAATGATATGTGCAATACTAATGATAATAATAATAATATTAATGAAATAATAATAATATTAATGAAACATTTTGATGATCCATTATATAAATTTTGTTTTCAACAAAATTCATATTAATGGATCATCAAAATGTTTCATCACATTGAAAGATCATAAACCTAATCTTTTAAATAATCATAAATCCAGCAAAGAACGAAATAGGAAAAATAAGTAAACATATTTTATCCGAAATAAACAACCAGCTAAGAAATATTTTTTGTATTAACCAGTGTAGTAACACACAGGAGGTAATTAAATGGTTCAAGAACGTCAATGACAAACATTTTTATAAATTCCTTATTTTTGATATTGTTGACTTTTATCCTTCTATTAACAATAAACTTCTTATCGACTCTATTTGCTTTGCTGAACAGTATGTTACCATTGCTAAAGAGCACAAATATTTGATTCGTCACGCACCAAAATCCTTGTTATTTAACAACAACGAAGTTTGGATAAAAAAAATCAGGTAGTTATTTGACGTCACCATGGGAGAATTTGACAGTGCCGAGGTATGTGAGTTGGTTGGAATATTTCTTCTTTTCCAAATTTCTCAGTTTAATAATAAGTTTGACTCTGGACTGTATAGAGATTATGGATTGGCCATAACTTAAAACGCCAGCGGTCCACAAATGGAAAAAGTTAAAAAACATATAACTCAGATATTCAAAAGTAACAGCCTTAATATTTCTATTCAATGCAATATAAAAATAGTGAATTATTGATATTACATTAAATCTTAATGACTGCAGCTTCAAATCTTACCATAAACCTGAAAGTTTGTTAAACAATATCCATGCCAGCTCCAACCACCCACCAAGTATTTTAAAACAGCTGCCGCCCAAAGATTATCATCAAACTCCTCCAGCAAAATAATTTTCGAAAACTCTTCTTCTATTTCCAAAGAAGCTCTTATAAAGTCTGGACGTAGCAGCAATATCCAATATTAGCCTAATTTAAATTTACAAAAAAATAATCATCATAATAACAATCGCAAACGAAACATCATATGGTTTAATCCCCCTTTCAGTAAGAATGTTGTCACCAAATTAGGAAACCTTTTCTTGAACTTAATCTGCTTACATTTCCCAGCACAGCATAGGATACACAAAATTTTTAACAGAAACACCGCCAAAATAAGCTACAGCTGCATGCCAAATCGTAGTACTATTATTAAGTCTCACAACCAACACATTTTGCATAACCAAAATATCAAAAACGTTAGAAAATGCAACTGTATAGACAGAGCTACGTGTACTTTAGAAAATCAATGTCTAACTAAAAATACTGTTTACAAAGCTACCAAAACACCAGCGAACGTCAACCACGCTAAGAAATCTTATATTGGTATTAGCGAAAACTCCTTCAAGATCAGGTTTGCAAATCACATAAAATCATTCAACTTGGTCTGATATAACTATGACACTGAACTTTCTAAAGAGATCTGAAAACATAAGAAAGCAGGCATTAAACCAATAATGAAGTGGAGTATTGTTAAAAAATGTCAACTATATAACCCATCCTCAAATAGGTGTAATCTTTGCATAAATGAGAAATATTTTATTTCAACATACAATAAAGAACCTTTGTTAAATAAAAAAAGAGAATTGGTTTCAGCATGTAGGCACAGAAAAAAGTTTTTGCTATTGAATTTCAACACTGGTTAAATAAATTCCCGTTCGACATGAAAACTGATGTTTGATCTCGTTGCAACGCAATTTTGTATTTTTTATAACGGTTTTTATTTTAATGATTTTAAATATATGGCTGAATGATTGCCAAATGGCATGAAACTTGAAGTCCCTTAAAAAAGTCGTCTTTTTTGATATAAATATTTAATATATTATGATCTATTTTATAAATATCGATCACTCTTAAACTGACAAAGAACTGTATTAAATCAAACAGAATGCAACACAACTTAATAAAAAAAAAAAAAAAAATACATATATATATATATATATATATATATATATATGTATATACATATGTATACATATGTATATATATAATATACACATTTTATAAAATTAATTTAATTATATATATGTATATAAAATTAATTTTATATATGTAAAATTAATCTAATTATATATATGTTTGTATATATATATATATATATATATATATATATATATATATATATATATATATATATATATATA